AAATTAGAATTAGGTTTGTTTTTTGTTAAATTTATTTTCATTAATTAATTAGATTAATTTGATTTAGGGTAATTTAAATACTTTTTTAATTAAAATTAATTAGAAAATTTAGATTTAAATTCTTAATTTCTTTTAATTATTTCCTTTTTTCTCAAAAAATATACAAAAATACAAAACAAGTAAATTAGGTTAATTATCTTTTCTTCATTAATTTAATTATTTTCCATGAATTAATTAGTAACTAGGATATTTTCGTAATTTAATTTTATTCTTGATTTCTTTAAACAAAAATAACAAAAATGGTTTCTTTCTTTAATTAATCCAATTAGGTAGCCAAGGGTCAAAACCCGATTTCTCTCGTATTTAAGATTGTCGCGCGTATTTATTTTTGATTAATTATGTAACTGCTTACTGGTTTGTAATAGTTAAAACTAGGGTTTTTATTTACTGTTTAAATCCCCGATTTTTGGTAATGTAATTAATTCCCCTTCCTGAAGCCTTGTAATAGCTAGTTTTATTTTTCGCACTTTTGATTTCCGCAATCTTTAACTGTCTAGATGCATGGCTAATAGGATTGTATGAAAAGAATGCTTGAAATTTAGAACGGTAGATCACCTAATGTGCAAAGACTAAATAACTGAAAAAGGTCACATGCACATGTTCACTCCTAGGGTTTGCCTCACTTCGGTTGCCTTCGGTAAACAGTCCTTAAGCATAGGAGATTTTAATGATTGCCCTCTAGTCTAAAAGATCAAATGTCCCATTCGAATGTTGCCTCAGAAATGTTTCCTCAGAAAGATCTTAAGACTCTAAGGTTATTACTAAGGTTTCCTACCCATTGCTTTGGTGACTGTACTTGTCCCTTTCGAATATCCCTTACAAACTCCAACGACGGGGCTACCTACTCCTTAATAGTAGGATAGTGTTGTCTAAAGGAAACGAGAATGAACAATCTTTTTTCGAGTAGGTAGAATCTTAAGTACTTGCTCAACAAAACTTTTCACACCACCACCTTTCAAAACAAATTTTCAAAAACAACTTCGTCACACCCTTGAGGACTGATACAAGGGTTATCACGAAGTAAAACATTTTCAAAAACAAGCATACACACAAGCAATTTTAAAATGATGAGCAAGTACCTAAGAGCCCATGAAAAACCATGGATAGAAAGGGTGCTAACACCTTCCCTTTCTATAATCTACCCCTCGTACTCAGAAATATCTCGAAAAAAGGTTTTTTCTGTTCTTTTTCCTTTTCCATGATTGGATGAAATAAAAGTCGGTGGCGACTCTTGCTTACCGCGACATTTGCGAATACAAAATGCAAATCAGTAAAAACAGCCGGTTCTGCTACCGTATCACAAGTACCATACCATAAATATGTGTGCTTCTTCAAAACTCACCAGATGTTCTATCATGTGAGGACACCACATACCTGGACCCTAAGATGGGGAAAAAACTTCCCTTGAGTAACCACACCTTGCTCCAATAAGGCATGATATACAAACTCCTCCAAGCACATGCAGACAAAAACAACTAAAGGCTCATTCCAAGCAGTTTGGATAATACTCCACCAGCGCAGACACCAATCAACCACTGAGCTTATGTTGATACATCTCCATACATTATCCTTCCTTGGATAACTGTTCTTTTCTTAACATAACTAGATTTCCATGCTCTCATACACTCGATAGTTACATCAAGTTTGAGTAAACAACCCTCATTCTGTTTATAAGAATAAACACCAGCCAGGCACCTTGAACAATTGTTGCTTCAAGTCCCTTTCTCTAATTCATGCACATAAATATTGTTCCTTTGGTCAGAGGAACCTACCAGATATGAGAGATGATTTCATCGACATTTAGACTAGACTTCATACATGAAGAATTTTGTTGAGATGTCTTTAACAAGTCTAAAAAAGTGCAAGCTCAACCTTTGCACTCCTACTTTTTTATATCAGAAATAAACTAATCCAAGAAGTAATCAATATGTTGATCATGTTTTGATCAAACATAATTTTCCAAGACATGTTTCTAGGATAGAAACCTCTTAGACACATAGCATAGATGCCCCCTCTTCCAGGTCAGGAGTAGGTTCCAAACATATGTGATCAATACACATTTGTTTAGCACCCAGAGCATCTGTTATGCCAACCCTTAATGCAACAAAATTTTGCACACCTTACCGATAGATGTTCCAAAATCTTGTAGAACATCTTTCCAAGGAACTCACCAAACACCAGAAGTTTTATCAGATACAAATGCAACGTAAAAAATAAAATCAAAAAACCCCTCAACAACCTTCATCCATGGCTTAGTCACCCTTGTACATAAACACCACAAATCAGGTAACAACAAACCAACATAGGTTTGAAAATAAATCAAACCAACAAAACAGAAGCACGAGATCCTGCTTCCAACTACCATGCCTTACACCTTCAGACGAGACCACATCTCAGCCTGTCACAAGTAGTCCATCCTCCACTTCAAGGGACCATTTAAACAACAATATGAACCGACCACGTACAAATAAATTTTCAATACAAACCTTCCTTCCTTGCCCATGACCAGAAAGTATCATCCCAGGATCTAACCCAGAACAGAACATGATGCCAACTCTGATAACCAATTGAAATTCTGGTATGATAGAATTCAGATGTCATATGATATGTCAAGACATATAATCTGACTTAAACATTATGGAAAGGTATAACAATATAAAAATAGTACTGAAAAGAAATAAACAACACACAAGAATTGTTAACCCAATTTAGAAAAACCTTCCTACTCTGGGGCCTACCAAGCCAGGGATAAGTCTACTCAAATAGTATTAATTCATAGACCCCTATAAAAAAACCTTCAGTTTACGACCCAATTACTTAATCACTACCCTTGCTAGACTTTTATCTAAGAATCGCCTAGATATCATGCCCTCCTCAATTCCTCTTCAATCACAGACATCGATTGGTTCAACACAAACACGAAGACACACTTCCATGACAATAAACCAGAAGACTCACTTCCATGACAATTCCTAGCCAAGACTTTTAACTAAGAACACAACTTGGAGTTTCCTACAATCTTCCTCCAAGAACAATACTCAACTCATTACCTACAGGTTTCTCAGTGAGAAAACAGTGACCATCTCGTAACTCGAGTGGTTCACTTACACTAACTCTCCTAGAGAGTGGCTACAGACTCAGTCCTAATGATTACATCTTTACAATTCTTGGCTGGTACATCTTTAGTTTACAAATATTCTATTTATAACCCTTTTCCCAATTGGATTTGGGCTTCAAAAACACAACAAGGAGACGACACAAAGTCTGCAAAAACTTCTCCAAGAAAATAGGTCTTCAATCAATATTTTCCTAAAATGTCTCCATATTTAGAAACTTTGAATATCTTGAATACCAACATAAAATCTCTGATTTATCAATCTTTGACGCCACGTAGAATTACCAAATATTCCTAGAATATTCATCAACTAATTCACAGCAACTGAATCTGAATTGTCAATTGTAGCATGCTTGATGTCCTACACTTCTGATTAGGACATCTCATTCGACATGTTCAAACAGCAAGTTGAAACAACTTCTAAACTACAAAACTGTAACAGTCCAGACGTCCTAGTCTTCTGGTTAGGACATCGCATTCGACATGTTGAAACTGCAAGTTGAAATATTTTTCAAACTGCAAAACTGTAACAGACTATATGTCCTATACTTCGGGTTAGCACATTACATTTGACATGTTGAATCTGCAAGTTGCAACATCTTGTTAAACATATTGCTGCAAAGTTAGTTTTACCAAAATTCATGTCAATCATAATTTTAGAGAAATAACAAATCTTCCCAAAACCACCGAGAGACCCAAATATCTCGAGTGAGATAATAATATCTTAACTCTCATCCTATTATAGATTATTTATTTTACTTCATCACGGACATTTCTACTTAAGGAGGCTTCTAACTTTTCAAGATTCACCATTTGGGCAGAGGCCTTCTGATAGATTGAAAGGACTTCTAAAATTTTCTCTGCTTCATTAGAGTTGTCCCTCACAAATAGGATGATATGGTCTGTGAAGAATAAATAAGAGATCCTAGGAGAAGTTATGGAAACTTGTATCTCGTGAATGTTAAGAGCTAAGGCTTCTTTCTTCAATAGACCTGACAAAACATTTGCACAAAGAACAAATAGGTAAGGGGATAAATGGTCTCCTTGCCGAAGATCTCTCTTGAAATAAAACACGACTTGATTTTCCATTAAGAAGGGCTTGGAAGGACACCATTGAGATACATCTATTTATCAATTTCACCAACTTCTGACAAAAACCTATGGATTCCAACACTCCCACAATAAAACTCCCATTCACCCTATCATAAGCTTTCGACATGTCTAACTCCAAAGCCATCACTCCTTTTTTACCTTTGATTTTATTCTTCATCCAATGAAAACATTCTATGGCTTTTTAACTAAATATTCTTATAAAAAAAATCTGAATTTTTTCTATTAAAAAAAAAAAGTCTAACCTAACTTAAATTTATATGAGCTAACCTACATACCCTTATTATTAGCATTACTTATTAATGACTGCTCAAACTAAGAATTTACCCTTAAAAAGTTGTTATCAATTCACAAACACAATTTTGTATACTTGCACAAGTGACAGCATGTTATCATCAGAAATTATGACTAACTTTTTTAGTGAGACATGAAAGTATCCGTCAAATGTTAATGAGACCTGACAAGAATTACTGCGGTTTCGAGAGATTCGATGATGACTAGGCACATCCACGTGTGTATAAATACATATATTCTCATAATCTCATTCACAAACCCAAGGCACACTAATTCAACTATATCTCATCTCAGGTCTCATTCTTCAATCCCTAATTTCAACTCTTGTTTTATTATTTATTTATTTATTTATTTATTTATTTATTTTATGCATTGAAATTAATTTGATTTCATGTAATTATAAATTCAGTGAATTGAATTCATGGGGAGTGCATCATCTATGTTAACTCAATATGATATTGAGGAAGTTCAAGAACACTGCAACCATTTATGTATGTTATTAACTGCTTAATCCTTATTTATTTTTTCTTATTTTCTAATTATTAGTTGATTACTTATATAAGATTGAGATTTTAATTTGATTTCATTTGTTGTTATTCAGTTTCACAGCAGGAAATAGTGTGTTTGTATGAACGCTTTTGTCAACTTGACCGAAATGCTAAGGGCTTTATTTCATCTGATGAGTTCTTATCCATTCCTGAGTTTGTTATGAATCCAATTTCTCAAGTACACTTGTGATTAAGCTTTATTTTTTTTATTATCTTTCGGTTTCGTATTTCTGGTGTAAAACAAATTGTGATTAATTCACGCTGCGATTGCAATCAGGGTGGTGTGTGTGATACTGGGATCTATTATCTAGACGTTGATGGTTTTTGTTCTTATTTGCAGAGGTTACTCAAGATGGTTGATGGTTTGAATTTTAAAGACTTTGTGGCTTTTTTGTCTGCATTTAGTACCAAAGCTAGTGCACACCAAAAAATAGAACGTACGTTTTTGTTTTATATTATAAAGCTGAATTGTTTCATGTTTTCTGAGAAGTTGTTTTAATCTGAGTAGTCAATAGTGGCACTAGTGACATAGCAGCGGAACAGAAGCAGGCTGTTATCGGAAGAGCCTTAGCGGTGTAGAACACTATAGCAGCCGCTATAGGGTAAATAGCGGCGGTTCCCAGTCCATAGCGATTTCTGGCTCGCTATCCTTTTCCCCTCTGAAAAAATCGAAATTACCCCTTAAATTTAAAACGGTTTAAGGGTAATTTTGGGTTATTCATTCAAAATTAAGTTGAGACTCCTCCCTCATCTCTCTCTGCACTTCGTTCTTCCCTCTCAATCATCGTCTCCTCCCTCTACTCCATCATTTCTTTATTTGATTTATGAATTTATGAACATTTTCTGTGTTTTGAGCTATTTGTTTAATTTTGCATTAAATATATGTCTGTAATTATTTAATGTAATTTGTCCAAGAAATTATCAAATTGCGGTCATCCGCTATAAGCTATCCCACTTTTGGAGCCAGCAGCTCTGCGCTGCTATCCGGAATTGACTACTCTAGTTTTACTCAGTTATTGCAAAGCTTTTGGAAACCAGAAGATGAAATTCGTAAGCTAGGGATTAGCTTTATGTTCATACCAATTCTGAATTCATATGCAAAGACCTCAAATGTAATTCAGAATGCTCTTATAATAGTAGATGAAGTTAATCAAACCGCTAAAAACTAAAAATTGCCGATGTTTATGAATTATACAATTAACTCTATAGCACCGACACTTCTGATGAAAGGCGTGTCAGTGTGTGACACATGTGATGATGTTTTATTAATCCATTTTTTCAAATTTTTACCAGTATTGACTTATCCGTGTCTGTTGTTAGTGTCGTGTCCGGCATCTGCTTTTGTGTCAGTGTTTCATATCCAATTCATTTCATCCTTGAAAAAAGGATTAGTGACTGTTTTCCTTAATTATGATGATATCTTTTGTTTGTATCTATCGCAGTTATTTTCAGAGTATATGATTCAGATCATAATGGGAAAGTGTCTTTCAAAGACATATTGGAAGTTCTAAAAGATTTGTCTGGTTCATTCATGTCCGATGAGCAAAGAGAGGTATCACCAAATAACTATATGCTTCTATATAGATTTAATAATGAAGTATTTTTACCGATAGAAAAGCCGGTTTTCAAGAAGGTGCATTGATTCATACTTGCAGCTTTGATGTCCATTTTCGACATCTGAATTTAACGTACATTCATCGTCTGTTCGTTCGTTAAATTTGCAGGAAGTTCTAAGCCAAGTTCTGAAAGAAGCAGGATACTCAAAAGACTGCTACTTAACATTGGATGACTTCATTAAGGTAACTACATTTCCTTACATATTTCTTTTGGAAAATCGTAAACGATCACTCTTAGACTATATTTATGTCTTCGATTTCACTGTAATTTTCTATATCATTTGATTTTTTATTTTCATTTGTGACAGGTTCTTGGTCAATCTGGCGTAAAAATGGATGTTGAAGTCCCTGTTGATTAAAATTACCTAGAGTTTTCCTAGTTATTTTGAAAGAAAATATTGTAAAATATATTAAAAGGGATTCTTGTAACATTTAGTTCATGTGGAAACGAGAAGTGCACAAATACATTTTTCCTAGTTATTTTGAAAGAAAATATTGTAAAATATATGATTTCAATGTTGCCAATACTAACTATAAGAGGTGTTATTGTTCTTATATTGTTACTTATACCTTTCTACTCATGACTCATTACAATGTTCCCCATCAATTTATTCTTTTAGATACTTCATCCACAAGTAACCGTGAGATTTGATTTTAATCCAACAGTTTTAGCGTTCTTATAGTTCAATAGATCTCTCTCTTTGACACACACGCGTTGTATATTCTTTTGCCACCATTTATTGGATGGATTATGGACAAATCGATAATCATGTATCTTGATATCCAAGTTGCATTCCCTATGGAATATTCAAGTTATTGACTATATGTCATACAAATCTTGTACATTTTGTTTTCTTGTTGATATTCATATTAATTGTTTTTGAGTTATTACCATTAGTGAAAGGAGACATGTCATAAATGGTGTTATATTCTTATAAAAGGATACAACACTTCTTCCCTTTTAAAAGAATATTGTTTTACCAAATTAAATTTGTTTTAAAATGAATATCAACATAGAAATAATTGTTAGTAGTATTTTTTTAATTGTATCTTTTTATTATTACTCTAGTATACACTATTTCAAACATATTTTTTAAATTAACTTAGTAAAAGTATAATATATAAGATAATATTATTGTATTCTTTTTTAATCGGTGTATATTACATAAATAAATTTTAGTCCCACTTATTCTTTTCTACTCTAATGGTTGCTTTCACATTTTAGTGAAAAACTAAAATAATTATTAGAATATGAAAATGTACTTCCGAACGTATTTTAGTTCACACAATTCACTAACGTAATCAAAAACGTATTCAAACCCTCCTCCTTTTTCATTTCCATGCATATTTGTCTTTGTGTTTTTCTGAGTTACACAAATTAATACGGAAATGCATTTCTATATTTGTTCAAAATTTGATTTTCCAGAAACATGAAAGTGCATTTCCGTATTTTGTCTATCTGCATTGTTTGGCTTGATTTTCAATGTGTTTCATCAGAGTTTGATTTTTTTTCTACTTTGTATTGCATATGGTTTAATTATAGGCAACATGGGTGATAGCTAAGATCGATTGATGCTTGGTAGAGTGTCGCAGTATGTATCAATTCGTATGGAAAGAGCATGAACCTTGCAACCACATGTCATTTCCAGTTCGTTTGATGCAGAAGCGTCAACTTCTAGGATTCAAGTCATGTCACCTTCTGATGCCCTAAAAGCTCGACTAGTCCAGGATGATGCACCTATTGTCGATAGGATTGTTCAAAAAAACCATAAACTGAACTGAACCGCTGAACCAAACTGAGGTTAAAATAATCAAACGGTTATGTTTGGTTAGTGAACCAAACCATGTTACACAAACAGTTATAGACTCGAACCGAATCGAAATTGAAATCAAACTAAATTGAAATTGAAACCGAACCAATACTGAATAAAAAATACTAAAATTAAGTTTTTTTTTTTTATAAAAAAAATAGTTTAACGGTTCAATTATTTAATAAACGGTTCGGTTCGAGAAAATTTGCCTTCTAATGGTTCGATACGATTCAGAATTTTGAAATATGATACCAAACCAATAATTTTGATTCGGTTCTAAGTAAATTGAAATAGGTCGGTTCAGTTCGAGTGAACTTTTATTATGGTTTAATTCGATTCGTTCCGTTTTCTCCCTGAACAGTACCATGAACAACCCTGATTGTCGATACGGTCGTTCTTGAGGAATTTGTGATAGAATACGCTGCCGCAGCCAGATGAGCAGTGGTTTCACGATGCAATGCAGTTAGTTATCTGACTTGTGAGATTTATTGTTAATCATTAAAAATCTGACTCATTGTTAATCATTAAAAATCTGACTCAACTACACATTGTTCTCGTCACTGACTTGAGCTTCATTCCCATCATCATCACCTTCAAAGGAATTCGCTATCAGATCATAGTTCACTTCCTTTGTGTGAACCAGAAAGATCCCTAAATCAACATATTTATAAAATTATCAATTCATGTCATGAATCACAAACTGCACCGTTAAAAAATTTACATGTTATAAATGTGGACTAGGGAAACAAGATTGCACTTGCAGACTAAATAAATCTATAAATACTACATAGAAGTTAAGATAATCCAATCTAAATAAGTAGTCAGGAAAAGCAAGGAAGTACTCTAAGAACTTCTACAACTATAGCATTAAGCTCAAGAAATTTACACATATGCTAGGTCTTGGTTTTGGTTTTCGGTTGCATTGCGACCTTCACTGAATCGGTAAGTGCACTGATTTTCTTAAGTTACACCTAGTTCTTGTCATGGCCAGCAACCCAAAATATGTATAAAAAAACTTGTCTTGGCTGAAATGGATCATCTTTGGGGTTCATCAGAAGAAGCACCAACTGAAGTAACTACCATATTGCTTGATGATCCATTCTCAATGGGTGGAGGCACACCCCACTTGCCTTCAGACTCAAGAGGTTCAAAGACATGAACTATACCATCTGACAGTCCAACAGCAAACTGATTTGATTCTTGTGGATGTGCAGCAATTACAAGCGGTTGAACGTTAGAACTGCGACATAAAACAGCATGGTTAATATTCAACAAGAATTGTTGCATATTTCTAATAACTTGTAATAAGTATATCATGCAATTTTAAAGTGCAACAAAACATCTGATAAGCAAGGCATTACCTGAGATTTGCAAGAAGATAAGCAGAAGGATTGATACGGCATCGCAATCGAAGGTTTGAAGCACTAAATACACAGATTGTTGCGTCTAAAAAGCTGGCAAATATCAGCTGGCTATCACATGAGAAAGTTGCATGTGATATTGGTGCAGCAGAATCTCGTGGGAACCACTACAATTCAAGCATCATACATCAGACAAAAAGATAGATAAATAATTCGCAGCTAACATAAAACTGAACTTAAATGAACTGACCTGCTTTAAGCATTCTAGTTTTCCTGCCTCATAAATTGCAAGCTGAGTTTCATGTACCACCAAGAAGCGGAACTGATCCTGATGGAATTGTACACGTGTATCTGCCTGTGCTGGTGGAGTTCTCCCAGCAGGAAATTGCAAGAATCTATTCTTCTGCTTCTCCCATCCATCAGTATTCCATACACAAATCTACACGATAGTAAAAGATTACTAAAGCAATTTGCGTTGCAGGCAGCATGCTCCAAAGGGTTATTAATTGATGAAAACTAGTTGAAGATTATAAAACTAGATCATTCAAGCAATTACCAGAGACAAATTTACACTTGACAATTTTTACCTGAGCATCTGCTCCAGATGAAACTAGTACGTTCAGTACATGAGAAAATGCAAGACCAGTTATTCTTTTAGTATGGCCATTGAGTTTACTTTTAACCTGCAAAGGAAAAAAATCAGGTATAAACACCTAATTACTGAAATAACAAGCAGGAAATATCCATTGACAGCAACGTACCTCATCTACACGGACATTATAAATCTGAATGGAAGAATCGTCCATGCCTATAGCAATAATATTGTTATCCTGAGGATGGAAAGCCAGAAAGGTTGCTGCAGGCGGCGCTGGCATGAACGTTGTCATTGTCTACATTAGGCCAAGAAGATTGAAGTAGGTTAGTTACAAACCAAATACATACTTGAATAGTGACTAACAGCCAATAGCTCACCTTAAAAGTCATCATATTGAACAGAGATATCTTTCCACCCGATGCTGACATTACGTAAGAATCATTTTTGGAAAGAGCAAAACATGGAACTGCATCCTCAGTATTGTTATCGTTAATGTCATTAGTCATCAGGATGCCACTTGAAGGTTGCCACAACAGAGGTGGCACACTAGCAGTGGCCTGCAGGAATATTGTATAAACATCAGAGAACAATACAGTTTCTATTTCATTGTTGTGATTAGCAAACAATAGTAGCGACACAAAAGTAAAATCACATTTTATCACACCTTGCCAGATGAATTACGCTCATTTCGTTGCCATTTCCAAAGAAGATGAATGGCATTTGAAGCTAATGCCAAAATAGCATTACCTGAATTAGTATATATCAACCTCGATATCTGTCATAACAAGGATGGTAATAATCAGAATACACACATGGTGTGCTGTTACAATAATCAAAGGCATACAAACAAGGAGATATACACATATATTACTTCTTTTTGTTGTCCAATTAAGTCACAGTTTGTTGAGTACTTTTAGATAAAAATGCAAAGGAAAGTGTTTGGTATAAATAGTCGTGTGAGTCTTCAAAATGAATTAAATTGTAAATTAGTAAGTAAATACCATACCTTGGTTACTCTTGCATTTTCAGGTAGCTTCAAGGATCTACAATGAGATGGTTCTTTGATTTCAGTGAGCTTCCATATCTTTGACTTGTCATTGGATTCTTCACTTATTCTAGGTTTAATATCACCTAAACTCCGTGCATCTCCATTCTAATGAGTTGAAAATGACATTAGTCAATTGACCGTGATACCAATGGAAAAAAAAAAACAATTATATAACATTCACAGTGAGAAGTTCATTCAATCCTTTTCTCCAATATACACCATCTAACAACTAAGAAATGCATAATGAAAAAAAATAAAAATATTAAGAAAGAAAATGCTAAGAGTAGCATTCAAGTAAATAACAAATCCTTTTGATAAAAATGAAAGATAAACAAACCATTCCAGCAATAGCTGCCACGGATGAGGCTCTCTCTGTAAGTGCAGCACTAGTTGCAGCAGTAGCAACTGACATCGGGTTTATTGTAGGCTGCCACATATAACATACGTCAGAATAGGTTTTTATACATTAGAGTCAAGGAAAAGATCTATATAAGTCTACCTTTGTCATGGCTTCTGATGTTCTTGATGATTCGTATAAAGAATT